GGATAGACGTGCACTTGACGTTGTATAGGTCGATGTTCCTGAGCGAAGGTGTTGCCGGGTCCGGTGTCTTCAGCCTCTCGGGGAATGATCGCTAAACAAGAATAAGGGCTGCCGTCACGTCGGCCGATGTCAGTGGCCGAGTCTCTGCCGATTGATTGCCCCGTTGAGTTTGTCGGCGTTCGACGTGGAGGGCCCCTTTCACGTGACCATCCTCTGATATAAGTGGGACTTGGAAGAAGGCGCATAACCCGGCGCTCTCCTCGTCGGTGTAGGATGACGGGGTGTTCAGGGCGCACCGCTTATTCGGAGTGCTGCCTTGGAAAGGTGGTGGAGTGGCTGCCGGATCGAAACCTTGTTGGACCTGCAGCTGGCGTCTTCAGCGAACCCGGGAAGCGAACCCGACGACTGTGTGGTGTTTCATGACACACAACGTTGCAGCCTCGCGGGTAAGGGTCCGCCGACGTTGTGGTGGCTAATCAGTATCCCTCCTGTAGTGCTGGGGAGCCCGCCGATGATCAGGACCGCAGCAACCGGAAGAGCGTGACCGGTGGCGAAAGGTACGCCGGTGAGAAGGACGACGTGGCCATGACCATATGACGGCCTGTTGGCATAACTGCACGTGAATGAGAATACAAAAAGGAGTTGGTTATTCTGCCCTCCTCATGCGTGACGCGTTCAATAAAGCGGTTGAGGTCATTGAAATAGATCGGTATCGCGATTACCCTGGTGACGGAGTGTCGCAGTCAATATGTCAGGGGCGAAACCTGCTCCGCGACCTTTAAAGGCCCCTTTTGTGGCTTGGGGAGGCAGTCCGAAAATCCCTGGTTGGCGTTACTCGGTGAGTGAATTCGTCGGAGACCCAGACCTCCGACGGAAAATTTAACGCTTTTTCGGTCCTTGTCATGGCGGTCGTTGTTTCGATTGGGCGAGTTCAATAATCTCCCGGCTCACTCGCACTGCATCAGGTGTATTATTGCCGAGTCGTTCCGCAAAGATTGAGTGCGACTGACGCGGGCTAGAATGTGGGGCAAGCGCAAGATGATTCTCTACTGGTACTCTAAGTTCCTCACCAAAATTAAAACCCGTTAGCTTGAACCCTTTTGTTCAGTTTTCTATCGTGCGGGTAACGAATGCCATCTCTGGGATATACTAGTCGCAGTCCCCGTGGTTGTTAGTATACAAGTTCAGCATTGCGAGTTACCTTTGTCATTCACCCCGATTTCATTCGCTCTCACACGTGCAGTGGCTGTGTTCCGAGTTTCGAGCATACGAGGATTTTGGGCGGGCACAATAACAGGTTTGGTAAAAATATAATAGAATCCTTCAGCTTGAATTTAGTTAATAATATTATTTCGGCGCCTTGAATCATTTAACTGAGGATGAGACAGAATTCCATACTCTTGAATTGGCATAATTGCATTTCATCAGCCATTGGAGAATACAATTTTTTTGCCCGTTTATCTTGTTAGTACTACAAGTTGTCCCTCCCCCCCAAAAAATTACAGGGTTTTCTTCACCGCAAAAATAATCTATGCATAGCCGAATGCTCATTTTCTGGCAAAGGTAGAGCTGGAGGTTCGAACCAGATGCCACATTTTCAGCGCGAAGCGATATTTTATTAAAAAGTTCTAAATGAGCTTCTGAAAATGTCAATGGGAAAATGGTGGCCGACGGAGCCTTCAAACACGTGGTGTTGTATGGCGCCAGAAAGCGAAAACTGGCGAAAATGGGCCCCATTTTTCCAGTGAAATGTTCAGAAAATCATATAAGTTTTGAATAAATATAGATTCGTGGAGAACTGTTCGGCAGAGAATGAGCGCTCGGCAATGCATAGTTTCGTTTTGCGGTGAAAAAAGCCCTGTAGATTTTTATTTGGATCACCCTGCATATTGTTTTTCTCTTTCTCTCGGTTGGCTATGGAAGCTATTTTCATATCTAATCAAATTATTATTTTATTATTATTACAGTGCTGTAACGTTTCTGTTTTGCGAGGTTTTACTTTTTGTTGTGCAACGGGCGGTGAAGGTGGGAGCGGAACTCAGCAAATCGTGAGCGACGACATTTATAGTCCAGCGAAAAAGAAGGAAAAAAAAAAGAGAGGAAAGCTGATAAAGAAAGGAGACGATTGGTCAGGTGTATTTGTTTTGACGCGAGGAGTTTATGTTCGAGTACATGCCAAATGTATTTCGCTTCTTTCTTTTTTTTTTTTTTTAATGGCAGCACCGGTTATTTCTTTAAAACTAAAACTAGATAAAAACTAGATACAGTCTATAAAGTGATATTTGGCTGCTTCTTTATATGAGCCCATCGGAACCACCGATATTTTTCTCTTGGTCACGCCATTCCAAAACATCCTAAATTGAAACGGTACTGGACCTTTATATTAGGTCTATTTCAGTACAAGACGCTGACAGAAGACAATCGCAGAAATAGAAGTTGGAAAAACACTAACGGGATTAAATGAATGAACTGAACAACCTTTAATACAAAGAGCTGCAGAGCAAACGCAAAAAAAAAAAAAAAATTCCCTGGTAGCGAGAACTTATCTTCTTAATACAGAAGCTTAAGCCTAAGACTGCGTCCACTGAAACTGCATTTTCAAAATATATTTTTTCTTAAATAACTTCAACACGTTATCTGCGCAATCGGTCACCTCAAATAATCTAAAAAAATGAAGGTGCTATCACGCACAAAGTTCACAGCAGCGAGCAAGCAGTAAGCGCAGGTTTACATTCCAAAGCAGTTGCGATCAAGGGGAAATAGGATTGGTGTCATCACTAAAGCAAGAAAAAAAAAGTGTTTTGAAAACTTCTACAACGTTGCGCTAATGCGCTGTAATATCTCTCCCTTATGATATTCAACTTTAAGGTTAGCTTTTAACAAGATATAAAAATGTGCTTCGCGTGGCCAGGGAGACTGTTTGTTTATCAGGACAGACAACACCGCCCGGTTTTCAGCTCACTTCAAAAAAATCCTCCAAGGAGTCTGATTACGCTCAGCAACCCGTTTCCTACTCGCCCGTATTTGTTAAGATAAGAAAATCCACAATCTGTAAGATAGTGCATGTAACCAACCGAACAATGCTAGGTGCACTGGATTATTGGGAGCGAGGCTGGAAAACGGTTGGCAAACGAGTCTTCAGGATCCATGGAAAACTTGCCACAAACATACAAAGTCAACGTACCCTTGTAGAATGCGCGCTGCAGGTCCGGTAGCACCTGCCTGACTGCCATGACCGGCCATCTAGTTTCCTTCTCGTGAAAGCTATCCAAGTTGAATATCGTTGGAGAGTGGGCTAGTTAGTGGTTAATTTCTAAAGGTACAATCATCGCAACGACACGGATGAATCATGTTCAATACATGTGCGATTCTTACATATGTTTGCTTCAAACATACCTGCAGTGCAATGCATGTTCAAATCTAATTTTTCCTTCGAAATCGGAGATGTCTTTTCGGGTTTTATGCCCCCCCCCCCCCCCCCCCCCCCCACATTTTGTGTTTTTTGGGGCGAGTTTGTGACTTCGAACAAGAAATCGGCATTCATTAAGGCTCGAAGTAAACAGTACATGGACATGGAATTCCCCACCCTCCAGGCAGCATACGCGTGACACAAATATTGGGAAAACGTAGACGTACTGATGTGCAAAGAAAACGGGACAGTGGGAATAATTTTCTAAAGGAGAAACAGCCTTGGGGACAGCTCTGCGCAGGCTGAAAACGAATAAATATCGCGCAGAGAAAGATTTATTTCCTTGAAGCTTGAGTTTTTCTTACACAAACCTCCGATTATGGGTTTTACAGTGTTCGCCGAATTAGATAAGACGGATTCAGGGTTTTCGTTTCGGGGTTTACTAGTACTCACTGAAAACACGAATTCTTACTTGTAAAAGATGTTTCGGATGTTTGTATTTTTCGACTGACTCCGAAAAGTAGAGTGTTTTAGTAGATCGTTGCGACGACTCCGATAATGATACCCGACATTCGGTCGACCGAATTGTGAATGCAACATACCTTTGAATCCGGTATCAGTATTGGAGGTATCGGAACGATTTACTAAAACCCTCAAGCAACACCTGGGTCGGTTTTATCCTACTTAAGGAAAAACGAAAACCTCAAAATTTGAGCTGCAATTGAATACGAAACGCCCAAACCTTACGGGAAGGAATCTAGTTTAATTTTTATGCAAACAAGTAATGCAACCCACACTGTACTGTCACCGCGACTGCTCCTTTTCTTTTCGGTTTATCGGTACCGGGACTTTTTTGGAGCACTCGTGCGACCCGTGTCTGTTCCCTAAAGAATCCGATACTCATAACCTGTTTTCTTCAACATATTCCTTCATTCATTTATCGATACTGTCATCCCCACTGTGTTTATTACAGAAGTGGGTAATACACGAAAAAGAACACATGCAAGTATTCACTGTATTCAGATTCATACACAAATATGAGTAAACTGAACAGTAAATAGTGACGGGGACGCTTCAAAATCTAGCGAACTAATAAATGAAGAAAGGCAGCACTGAAGAGGTACACGTAGTAAAACGCGTGGTGGAAATGTCCAGATAAACACAAATATTTGATCTGACGCTAAAAATTGACGCCTAGAAACACTGAATCTGCAGGACAAATTAATTTCTATAGAACACCCCCGAATTTAAATGTAATAACCACCCCGAAAACGCTGTACGTTACTTATGAATAAATCCGTGGGACCTTAGGTTCTTGATGAATGCTCTTAAAAACGTGCCTATAGCTTATAACGCTTAGTACGTCTGATGGTGAGGATGAGGGTGGAAACCTTGCTTATCTAAATTAAAATATATAAACTCCGCTTCTCTTCACTAGAATTATCCGAGCCGGAGGAGAGGAGGCGGGTGGCGGGAGATAAATAGAATGGGCGTAAATATGGGTGACTAGATGTGCTGAGTGAGACCGGCCTCTCGCTCATACGTCTGTACGGGAAGCCATACGCTAAGCGCCCCAATAATCCGAAGGCGGTGCTGAGAGTACGGCAAGAAGGTAGAAATAATTCTATTGGGTATCCAGATTTATATTTTTATTTAATATTAGAAATTTGTGCTCTACTTCGACCAGACACTCTCCAAATCCAACGCTCATCACTTCGCTCATCTCGGTACAAATCGAATCTCTTGGGTGTGCAGGGGTAGGGTGATGAAACCGTCGAAGATGTCCATGGAGATGGTGTCTCCCTCCTTGGGCAGAACCGTGAACCTTTGCATTAGCGTGGCCAGGTATATGAACAGCTCCATCATAGACAGCGTTTCTCCGGGACACATACGCCGTCCTGTTCAAAAAAGTAGAGGAAAATAAGAGTAAAGAAAACTTTTTGTTTACAATATATTTTTCGTGTGTGTTCGTGTAACGTGTGCCGTCTGGAAGGGTGTCTGCGAGCTAAAAGGCTCGGCCAACATGCCTCTGCGCCCGTAAGAAGACAGTGAAATCGTGCCGTTGCATTAGGTTTCTTGCTTTTTAAGCCCCATACTTCTACTGTGAACAAATGGAAGCATCAAAAAGACAAATACGTGCAAAGATGGGCGCTGAATAGGTTCGTCGCGCCGGACGGTGCTTTCTGAAAATGGTGACAGCGGAAAGAAAGAACAGGCGAGAAGGTACACGCATAAGTAGCGGCTTAGCTAAAGAAAAAAGTTAATTATAGCAACCGGAAGGGAAGGAACATGAAATACGTCCAGGATGAAAAAAAGCGTACATTCCTGAATGCGGTATCTTTCATAACGCCTCTACCAACGTTACTGGAGGAAGCTCAATTTCCCAGCTCCCTATTCTCGCCTGCGGAAGCGACTGGCCCAAATGGCGGTCACGAGAACTAGCGGCGCTGCGGTCGGACCTTCCTTCCCTGCCTCGCGCGTCGCCTGCTACCACTGCGTTAGAGTGCGCGTTGAGAGCTTCCTTTTCTTTTTTCTTTTCTTCCTTTTCCTTTTTACATCTATGCGTGTAATAGCAAGAAAAGATGAAGATGAAGTGTAACACACCACAGGGTTGAGAGTCAGGGCAGTTTGAAAGTTCTTTCTTTGAATGTTTGAAGTTTATTTTTGTGTGCGTCTGTTTTCTTGCGCTGTGAAGTGTTAATATGATTCACCAACTTGCCCAAGCTCAAGTGTTGCTATTCAAAGTTGGCGGGCTACACAATCCGGAAGTAAGAGTCGACTGCAACACTGCTAGTTCTCGTTACCGCCACTAAGCACACGTCGCAGGCGGAGTCGTGAAACTGAGCTTGCTCCAGCAAACGTTGGCCTCAACGAGGTTTCAGCGCGTGAGTTGATGCCTGTTTCTGTATGACACGTATGAAGCCTTTACGTTACCAATTATTGTCCTTAGATGCCGTAGGTATAGCTTATCAATCATTTACACCACTTCACTAATATCATAAACAGTCACAAACATTACCGAAATTACCTCAATTATAACCTAGGATCAGTTCAAAATCGCGCAGTCGGGTTTATTTATTCGAGCTATTCGCATGAGACAAGTGTCACCGGCCTAGAAGGGCATGCGTATCTAAACAAACTATTCAACAATTCAGACTGCTTTCACGCTATAAATTTGTTTTTACATATGATTTCCAGTTAATTTCACCCACGCCTTTCAATGAATTGCATGTTGTAAAGGCCATGCATATAAACGTGACGCGCATTAAAACTAAATCAGTGACCTCATTCAGTCCCTTTGTTCCCCGAGACGCTAAAGACTCGAACGAGCTTTTTGTACAACTAATTTTTTTCTTTCCAATTCACTGCCTTTGAACGAGAAGGTAAGTGAAACTATTTTCACAGCTGCCGCATACTCATATTTATGAAGCTGTATTTCACTTTTTCTTTAACTTACAATTGTATGTCTTCTTTGCATAAACTGATTTTGGCGCTTTTTGTTTTCTAAAATAATTTTTTTACAATGAGCTGGGACCCTCTGTAATGCTCTCGCCTATGGCAGTTTTAAAATTAATATAAAAATAAACACATTTGTAGCGCCGAGAAAGACAGCGTTGCGAGTGCCTGGCAGTGAAAGGTACGCGCGAGCTTTTTTGCAAACAAACACATTCTACTGAAATATGCTTCGGCCGCTGTGCCCCGGCCTGTGGTCATCCGTGATATCGACTCACCTGTACTGAAAGGGAGCAGGGCGGCTGGCTTCGGTAGAAGCTTGGTTTGATCCGTGCTCAGAAATCTGGTCGGATCAAAGTCCATGGGGTGTTCCCAAACATCCGGATCGTGATGAAGCGCCCAGACGTTCGACATCACCACGGTGCCAGCGGGAACGTGGAAACCGCCTATGGTGGTGTCGCGTTCGGCTCTGTCGGTCAAAATAAGCAATGACCCTCCAGCCAGAATGCTTTCCAATCGTGTCGAAGTGAGCGCAATAGACCCTTTTAAAAGTCAAAGGAGCAGCACTCGCGGTCGCCATCTATTGAGCACGAAGCGTGTGGTTCCGTACGAGCTCTTACCAAACGCTGAGGCTCCACTCTTGTCACATACACACTCAGAGGACGTGCCCAACATTGGCAGACTCTAATAATTGGCACCGGAGCTACTAGATGGGACGCGCGTTTGGAACGATTACACTAGCAACATTGGAGTGTAAAGATGTGGTAGCATGTACGTTCTCTTCCGTACAGTCGCATGTACGGTGCGTTTTTTCCAGGCTACCATATCACCTTATTCGAGGTTTACGTGTTTATTTAGTGTACCTTGGCCGCGCAGCATACCTCATAACCTCACAAATGGAAATGACGTGGAACACTGGCGACTCATTTACGGTATGCAGACATGAAGCAGATGCTTCTGTTTACTTTCATACATGGAATCAGAAATATACTGCGCTTAGGTCTTCAAGGGACGGAGGCAGCGTGAATACAGCTCGGTGAGACGTTTCAAGCAGTCTCTTAGTGCGTCGTTGAACCAGTCCGTCTTAGTTTGGCTCGCGCTTAACGTTATCGAAACATGGATTGTAGTCATTGCAACTCGTCCTTTCTAAAAAAGGTTTCTGTGAAAAGGTTTCTGTGAAATGTTTGCAGATCATCAGCAAGATCACCTTAATGACTGTTGATGCGAGTCATTTATTTGACCAGGGTGATTGATGCATGTCTTTTCAAGTCATTTGAGGCTGGCCGTTACACTTAGAAGAGAAAACAAAGTTCTTTGCATGCTGCATTCATTCCGAGATTTTCATATTTTTGATGAGTCGAAATAGTGTGTGATCATTACACGCAACAAAGCACATCACAAGCTGCGAGAATAACTCTAAACATGCACCATATCCGCTTGTTGTTTCCGCTATCTATACATAAAGGGACAATGAAATGATTATACGAACTTCTTCCTTCATAACTTCCCTTCTGAACTCAAAAACAAAACGAGAAATCACGCGGTCGTGAAAGGCTTGGGCACGAGTACTATCACTTCATGCTCCCACCGTCCTTAAGCACACCACGGAACTTATTATTCGCAAGCGATAATGAATGCTGAAACGACGCTCATTAGAAACGAACGTGAATTAAAAAAAATTCTTCGACTGATTGATTGTTGACGAATGCACACGTCCGTGTATCCAGTGCTCGTTTCCGACGTGGTTCCTTCGCCCGGCTGGTAGAACTTCTTTTTCAGGTAGAAAGGCAAACTTTACGTCATGGCCACATGATTTCACATGTTGTTGACATAGTCCGGTCGAGTCGAGGAGAGAAGCAAACGTTAGTTCTCATCTTTTTTTTCCCTCTAAACTTAAGTCAATAAAACAAAAACGGACTCCTGCTCCGGTTTTTATGGACATTGAAGATGAATTACAGTCTCCATTTCGAAAAATCATGAAAATCATTTCACTGTGCCTGTTACTGTTCAAAAAAAAAAATTCATTGCCTAACGTATGGTCTTTGCAATGAACTGGGACCACGTCAGGCTGCACTCGATTTAGCATTTTTTTCTACCTTATTTCTTGATGAATGAAAAATGGATTGATTGACTGATTGATTGGTTGAAACCATAACAAGTTTCCCTTGTACAATGTCCAATTCACTTACTCTCTGATGATACCCAACGGCGCTACTGTCCTCCAGCGCAGCATTTCCCAGATGACAGCCATGGTGTAGGGCATGTTTTTCCTGTCCTCCCATTCAGGAGCTCTCACCCGGCCTACGACTTCGTCCACTTCTTGCTGAAGTTTCCTCTGGACACCTTCGGGGTCTCGGGCACAGTTAAGCAGGTGCCACAACATGCTCGCCCTCACACTGTGCGTTCCGGCTCCGAAAAAGTTCAGGGCGTTACCAGTCAATGTCTGTGCTGCGAGATGGGAAAGTTGCAAGAGCCTGAGTTCCTTGCTCATGGACTCACCTCGGCTGCACGAACTGTAGCGCAGCAGAAGCAGCCTCCCAAGCTAAGAGCGCGCCTTCTAGCCTTTGCTGGTGCATGCAAGCTACTGACCGCTAGATTTGAGTACGACGCGGTGCTCAGTAAACTGTAATCCTGCCTTCTTCTTACTAATTGAACACGTGTCCCAGTGGAACGCCGCGAACCGCTCGTGGTCGATCAGTGTCCCGCACTGGCTCCAGTAGAAGACGGAGAGCATTCACTGCTATGACATTCTTATCTAGAAGGAACACGCCAAGCAAAAAAAAAAGTAGTTCCAAAAGAAGGAGAAAGCCTCCAAGGGAACGGTTAGGCAGGAAATGCATTCGATGCTGTGCTTAGAATATAACAGATATAAAAAATGAAGTGTCCAAATTATTGATATCTTTCCACGCGAATAATAATGAGAAGCCCTATTGCACCTAGAGGTCAAATAAGACCCAAATAACAAGGATGGGCCCAAGCAAAAAAAGATTCAGATTACAAAGAATAGGTAAAAGTACAGTCAATGTAATATGTTCAAGTAAGGCATAAGTAAGACAAGGCCAACGGCCCAATTAATATGCTCGAGTAACGCGAGGCCACGGTGGAAGAAACATTTAGGTGATGACTCTCTGTCCGACGCGGCGATCACATTATGTTCGGCACACCAAGTGCTTCACTTGCACGGGAATAGGGGGCGCCCAAGTATCGGATCCCTCCCAAACCCCCGCTCTGGTTGTTTCTCCCAGCGGTTGTCGCGCATTCCCTCCCTCACCCCTTCTTGTTGTGCACACGGTGGAAGAAACACATTGAGGTGATGACACTCTGTGCGACGCGGCGGCCACGTTACGTTCGGCGCACCGAGGGCGCTTAGTTACTTAGTTAGTTAGTTAGTTCAGGCTGCTAACCCATTTTGAGATAGAGGGGTCAGGCAAAGTTTAGGTAGCCGACCCAGGTAAAAGTTTATTTTCTTTTTTTGTTCCAGCTTTCCCCACTTTTGGGACACTTTCACTGATTGGCGATCGCACAAATTCACTCCACTCAACGAGAATGCGCTTGGTTGTTATTGTACCGTGGGCCCCTTCCCCGAATCCCAGCATTTCGGGAATCCTCTCTTCGCTGGTCGCCCGGGGCGGTCGACAGTGGTCTAGGGCAGGGCACCACCGCATCACATGGGGGGCGTCCTCGCTTGATTGCCCGCCTCACTCGCACGGGGATAGATGGCGCCCAAGTATGTCGTCCCTCAGAGCAGTATATGAGGTGAGTTTGGCCAGTCATTGTGGCGACGAAGGTGCCGAAGAACAGAAAAGTGAAGAAAAGGGAGGAGAGCGCCGAAGGAGCTTGAAAGAAAGAAGAGGTCAAAGAGAAGACGACCGCCAATTTGACGCAACGCTGTCGGCGCCTAACACTGTTGAGGCTACGCGTCGTCTGTTACAGGCGTATTTCTTTTTTGCCTTAACAAAAGTTTGCGTTCAAACGTGGAGAAACTTAAATTCATGCCATCCATACATCCCTTGCATTTCGCCGGGCAAATGAATGAAAATGGCGGCCCTCCCCGCTCAACTCGGAGAAGCCGGGAGTTCACGCGCATGAGCTCACGCCTCTCGCTCTGCGCCACGGGCTGATTGGCTCACTCGGGAGCGGGGCTTTACGGTGGCGACGCCATAGACTGGCAAACTCTCCGCATACACGACTCTGGCGTCTCTCCCAAACCAACTCCTCCGGTTGTTCGTTTCAGCGCTGGTACCGTATTCCCTCGCTCAACCCTTCTTGTTGTAGCTGACCTCCTGCACGCCGCCACCAAGTCGCCAGAGTTCGTAAAACTTTGTTGTCTTCTTTCTTTTTCTTCTACTTCTTCTTCGGGTTAAGGCTCAGCTTCGTGCACGATGGTGGCGCCTGTGATCGGCACAGCAGCAAAGCAAAACACGAGTCCAGCCACCGGCCGCATACCCATGCCACACGACCCCACCGCGAAAAAGGCGACCACGCAACGCCGCCGACACCATGGCCGCCGAGGAGGTATTCCATACCGCAGCGTCCTCCGCGGCGGCGTGGAACTAACTACTCCTGGTTCGAGGCTAGCTCCGAATACCATCTGGTCGCTCGCTCCCCGCGGGAAGAGCGGCCAGAGTCATTATTTAAATGTGTTTCTTCCACGGTGGACAAGGCTCACTGCCCATGCAAGGTCGGAGTGAGACAAGGTTCATAGCTCCTGAAATAGGTCCGAGTAAACCCCAAGTAATACAATAACCTCTAGGCCCAAATAAGGCCCATGTAAAGCATAGTTCACAGCCTATGCAATAGGTCCGAGTAAGGCCCAAGTAAAACGAAGCCCGCGATCCAAATAAAATGTCCAGTTACGAGAAGGAACACAGGACATGTAATCGGCCCAAGTTGAACAGAAGTATGTCTCATGGTCGAAGTAAGACAAGGCTCGCGGCTTAAGAAATAAGAACTAGTAAGATCCAACTAAGAGAGGGTTCAAGCTCCAAGTAGTAGACACGAATAACGTCCAAGACAAGGTTCAAGGCACAACTAGTAGGCACAAGTAAGATCCAAGGAAGCCGAATCTCCCGGTACAAGTAATAATTGCACGATTAAGACAATGCTCAATGCACAAGTGATTGGCACAAGTAATCTCAAAGACAAAGTTCATGGCACAAGTATTAGGCACAACACAGCTTCAAGCAAGACAAGACACCCGGCCCAAGTAATAAGCCAAAATAACACAAGGTTCAAGACCCAAGAAAACAGGCACAAGTAATGTTTAAGACAATGTTCATGCACAAGTATTTGGCACAAGTAAGACGAGGCTTAAGGGCCAAGCAATATGCACATGTAGCAGGCACAAGTAAGGCGCAAGTAAAAAAGACTCACGATTGAAGCTTGCGTTTCCACCGTTATTCTCGTTGATTTTGTTCCAGTAAGCACCCATCAAATCTTTGCTAACATTTGCATTCAGGGCATTAGAGCGCTCTCGCATCTGCTCACTTTAAGTGAAAAGGACGATGCTCGATCAGCACATCGGGCTAAAGAGTTACTAAGGTACGTGTGTGTGTTCAGTTCCAGACATACCTGACCTAGTTATGAGTCTCCTTTTGTGAAAACAAAACACTACATGTAACTACAAAATTTGTGTGTGCGTACTGTCGAGGGCAAAAGTTTGGATAACACCGTAGCGCCGACCAAATTTCATCGCCGCATGCTGTTGTGACCCTTGCGGTTCGCACGCGCATCCTCGCTTATCTATTGGCTTGCTCGTTTGCTCGTTTCAACACGATGCGCTGCGGCCAGACTGAATCGGCGATGGACGCCACTTCAGGGACACTAAACTCGTCAAACACAAAGTTGGGGTCGAAGTTCACGTAACGTGCCGATTAGACTATCTCGACGATGACTTCGCGCTTTTGTCGCCGGCGTTCCATCGGCACGCTCCGCGATCTTTCGGGTACACCTCTGTGCTTGGCGAGTTTAGGTCCCCAGCCGCCGTGACTCCACAAACTTAGCTCATCGCTCTGGACAGTGGCCGCGCGACGGAACTTTCGTGCTCCGTGGCATGGGCAGTTTACACTTAGCGACCAACAGTACCATTTTTTCCTTGCATTTTTAATTCTGGATTGTAAAAATGGTATACAATTGTCCTGCGTTGTGTAGTGTCCTTGATTTAGCGTAATCGACTAAACGGATTGGCAACAGTGGTGTATCAGAAAATGGCGGATTAAACGAACGTGAATTACCATGCTGCAGTCCTCAATCCAAGCAATCCCTAAATACTCCAACACCACAATGGTGTCAGAAGTGCCGTCCGTGGAAACAGAAGACCCCTCGAACCCGTGCCCCACGAAATCATCGGCGAGCACCGCAACAACAATCAACGGAACGGGTCGACAAGCTGCGCAGCGGTCCTAAGCTTTGCAGCAGCATCGAATCTTGGTCTTGTTCGAATCACATACCAAGTCGAAAACTCCCCAACAGAAAAGTCGATCGTGGAATCATTCCCTAACTTGTTCAAAGGAGTTGGCAAACTCAGGGAGCAGCAAATCCACCTCTTCGCGGATGAAACTGTTCCTCCCATCGCTCAACCGCACCGACGCATTCCATTTGCAGTGCGAGCACTTGTGGAGACAGAACTCGACCGTTTCCTGTCAGAGGACATAATCGAGCCAGCAGTTGGACCCACACCATGGGTGTCTCCAGTGGTTATTGTACCGAAACCACACATCCCTGATGAGATCCATATCTGCATCGACATGCGCCCTGTGAACACTGCCATTTAACGAGAACGACATCTGTGTCCAACAGTTGATGACATCATCGTAGCTCTCAACGGAGCGACCATTTTCTCAAACCTTGACCTGAAAAACGGCTATCATCAGCTGGAACTGGACGTGTCTTCGAGACGACGAACAACATTTTCTACGTACACTGGTTTGTTTCGGTACAAACGTCTCAACTTCGGCATCAGCAGTGCAGCAGAGATCTTCGAGAACACAATTCGCTCAGTGCTAAACGGCATCCCAAACGTCCTAAATGTCAGTGATGATATTCTGGTCTTCGGAAAGACGAAAGAACAGCATGACACCGCTCTAGATGCAGTCCTACGTCGACTTCAGGAATCAGGACTAACGCTCAATGAAAAGAAGTGTCACTTCCACCAGCTAGAGCTGACCTTCTTCGGGCTCATTTTTTCATCAAAGGGTGTTAGTCCAGACCCTAAGAAAATCGAGGCTTTCCTACAAGTAAGAGTACCAGAGTCTCCTCAAGAGGTGAAGAGTCTTTTGGGAATGGTCAACTACTCAGGTCGGTTTTTATGAAACCTTGCTGACCTTACTCAGCCACTGCGTGAACTGACGCTAAAGAATGCAACGTGGGACTGGACGGAACGTCTCCAGAAAGCCCTCGACGAACTGCGGCGCGTCATGTCAGACGCATCTACCCTGTCCTACTTCGATCAAGCCAAGCCGACAGAGCTGGTTCTAGATGCAAGCCCACACGGACTTGGTGCCATATTAACACAACGAGATGGTGCACAGGTTGCAGTGATAGCTTATGCAAGCAGAGCATTAACACCAGTGGAAAGCCGCTACTCCCAAATCGAGCGAGAAATGTTGGCAGCAGTATGGGGCATGGAACACTTTCGGCTCTACTTGTGTGGTGCAGACTTTGTTTTATTGACAGACCACAAGCCCCTGGTGAGCATCCTGGGAAACCCGAAATCTTCACCATCTGCCCGCATAGAGCGCCTTGCTCTCCGCATCCAACAGTATCCATTTGACGTACAACACACTGCAAGAAGCAGCAACCCCTCGGACTACCTTTCAAGACACCCAGTGCCACTACAGGAGACAGGCACTCGCATCGCCAAAGCTCCTGATGAGTATGTAAGCTTCATCCAACGCCAGTGCATCCCAAAAGCCTTCTCGGTCGAGGAAGTTGTGGAACAGACTAAGGCAGACCAACAGCTGCAGCTACTGGTGAGAGCCATCCAGCATCCTCTACGTAACGACTAGCTGCTACCAGAACTAAAGCCATTTGCAGCTATGAAGGCAGAACTCACTTTAACACCAGAAGGTCTCATCCTTAGAGGGACACGCCTTGTGATTCCAACTGGTCTCCAGAAACGTGCAGAGCAACTCGCACACCGAGGTCACCGGGGAATCGTAAAGACGAAACAATTACTACGAGAAAAGGTATAGTTTCCGGGCATAAACAACCTTGTGCACATGCTGGTGAAGAGTTGCCTTCCATACCCCGGTACCCCAAACAACTCAAGAGCCACTTGCGATCACCGAACCTCCCAGCAGTCCCTGGGAAAAAGTATCCCTCGACTTTTGTGGTCCATTTCGAGATGGGAAATATGCAATGGTGGTAATAGACGACTTTTCGGGATACCCTGTGGTACAGCTCCTCAATTCGACAAGCGCACGCAATGTACTGAGCGATCTCCGAGCAGTGTTTGGCCAGTTTGGCATCCCAGAACAAGTGAAAACGGACAACGGGCCACCGTTCCAAGGCACAGAGTTTGCTGAGTTTGCCCAAGAGCGGGGATTTCGACACCACAGAGTCACACCGCTATGGCCTCAGTCCAACGGTGAAGTGGAGCGATTCATGAGGACATTAGAGAAACAGGTGCACACCAGCGAACTCGAAAACAAGGACTGGAAGGCTGAGCTAGATACCTTCTTGATGTCTTACAGATCTACAAAACAAGGCACAACAACAAAAACGCCTTACAAATTGCTGTTTGGAAGACCAATGAGGAATCTCCTTCCCCTCTATGCAGCCCCAACCCCAAGAACAGTGGACTCCGGAGGACTGAGGTCAAGGGAGCTCGCAAGAAAGGCTTGCAACAAGCATCGAGCTGACACACGGAGAGGCGCTCGTCGACATCGCTTCTGGGTGGGTCAGCGAGTCCTGTGTAAACAAGACCAACACAACAAGTTTACGTCGTATTACCGATCCGACCCCTTATACCATCACCAGCATTCATGGATCTCAGATCAAAGCATCCCAAGGCAACCGAATTACCACACATAACGCTAGTTTTTTCAAGGATGCCTCCCGGATCAACCGAGTGCCACGCAGAGCAGAGACCGACATAGATGACACCATGCCACCGTCATCCAGCACGGACAGTCGCACCTCAGCACCTGGGCCATCAGTGCCTGCAAGACTACAGAGCCCCCTTCGTCGACTCTACCCCGTCAGAAACCGCGGCATCTTGCTGACTTTGCAACATAATCCCTTTTAAATTCTTTGTGAAGAAGAGTGAACTATTACAAAATGAAAGAACTCATCTCAGCAAGTGTTCAGCTGAATATCGTCAGCATGTAATTTAGTTAATTTTGTTTTGTTACTTTGCAACATTTTATTTGATGTATTAGATACTTAATTTCACCTTCCCACAAGGAAGGTAGCTGTAGTGTCCTTGATTTAGCGTAATCGACTATACGGATTGGCAACATTGATGTATCAGAAAATGGCGGATTAAACGAACGTGAATTACCACGCTGCAGTCCTCAATCCAAGTAATGCCTAAATACTCCAACACCACACGTTGTATCTCGGTTTGTGCTTCAGTCTTTTATCACACGTGTATCTAAACCAATCTAAACTATCGATCGTTCGGAAGGAAAGCGTCACCAAGTGACTTCGCTTCAGCATTCCAGGTTCGCAATGATGTAAGAGCTAATAGGAGGTATTCACTGGACGCCATATTTGAGGGCGATGTTTAGAGCGCATGCTCAGAACGAGCTCATATCAATAGGCTGCTGAGGCCGCCACTCTCGATGGTGCGAAGTGCACGTTGCAAAAGAACTGCGTAAGCTCGCCATCTGCACGCGCAAAGAATTCGCGCACACAAATATGGCCGTCAGTGAATACTTCCTATATTCCGATCTCTGTGAGCGTTCCGAGCATGCTTGACACCGCCATAACTGTAGTCCGCAGGAGGCAGGCGGCAGTGCATAAGACGGTTTGTGCCGTCTCGTGCTCTCCTTCTGCAGACTTCCATCGCGGTCGTCATGTGAGCCGAAAGACTCCAGTGCCCACAATTATACTGTATGTGGAGGCGTCACGAAACTGGCTGGCTAGAGGGGTCTATGCACCGAGAAAGTGTGATAGAGGATGAGACAAGAGCGGGCGGGTCCGTCAGAACGCCGAGATCCGATTCGAATGATTAGTGGGTAGACTTAAAGCCCGCTGCTTTTGTATCCACTGCATTCGACGAACGCGTTAGAACAAGGAACGCCGGCGTCCGGTGTCTGGCCATAGCCTCGTCTATACTGTCAAAGCCTGGCAGAGCGCCACGAGACTCGGCCGCGGAATGTGAAAAGGGAGAGCGGAAGACAACGGGTGAGAGGAGAGGAATGTAACGGGCGCCTCGCTGCCGCGAGATGCCGAAACATACTTCTCCCGAGCGATGGAATGTCCGCTCGTGCTCGTCGCGTTCCTCGGGCTACCGCTTCTCTTCTCCTCGGGCTGTATAACCAGGTTCCGGGTCCACGCCGCT